AATCTCCGTCAATTTCCAGAGTGCATTTCCTGTTTACATTTCTGGGAATAGCAATTGCAGGTTCCTTTTAAGCTCAAACTTTTCATATTGTAAATAAGGGCAGTGTTAAGGAAAATTTGCAGGTTATTGCCTTAGATATTCATTCATTGTGTGTAAAATTTAGTATTTCTTTGAACATTCAATGGGTCAAAAGAGATTTGAATAAACTTGCTGATGAATACAGTAAAATGGTAGATGTAGATGATTATAGTGTGTCCGACGAGTTTTTTTGATTTAGTAAATTCCATGTATGGGCCTCATACTGTTGACAGGTTTGCTAACGACTACAATACTAAGTTGCCAAGATTTAATTCCCTTTATTGGACTCCTTCTTCTGAAAATGTTGATACATTCATGCAAGACTGGTCATCTCTGAAAATAACTGGTTAGTACCTCCAGTTGTTATGATTCCAAAGGCAATAAATCATCTTGTTGAGTGCCAAAGTCAGGGTACCCTTGTCGCGCCTTTTTGGCCGTCTAGTCCATTTTATCCTATGATTTTTGGAACAACTTCAATTCAAAAGCATTTTATTAAAGATATTCTTTTATTTAAGCCCACACAGCGCATTTACGTACAAGGAAAGAATAAAAATTCAATTTTTGGTACGGAACATTTCACTGTAAAGTGCTTGTTATACGCTTTGATTGTAAATCAATATTGTAGGGGAGAATAACTGTCAAAAATGGGTTTTAATTTAACACTCGTTTATTATCTTCTCTTGTTTTTACCTTAGTATATTTTTGTCAATTTGCAGGCTTGTTTTGATTCAATGTAGAATGGAAAGACTTAGCAGACACATGCAACGGTTCTGGTCTTCCGATGTCCGTTGTTTCAGAAGTAAAACACACTATTTTGGGTAGCAGAGAACATAGTACAGTGAAAAAATTATATGTATGCTTTTGAAAAATTTTGTAATTGGTGCGATAAATGCAAGTTATCTTCTTTGCCAGCTTTGCCTGTCACAATCGCGCTTTATTTAGTTTCGCTTATTCAGATGAATACATATTCATGCGGGAAATCTAAGTTAAATCAAATTTTCTATGCTATAAATTGGGCGCATGAAACTGCGTATTTTAAAGAAATAGATGGCTTAAATTATGTTTAGAAGGCTGTATAAGAAAGATTTCGAGGCCTGTACAGAAAACAAGAGCGATCAGTAATCACATGTGTCGCCTCATGATGGCCAATTTCATGTTGGGACAAATTTTGTGACAGACGGACAGACAGTGCACAACTAGACTTGGTACTGATCATTCCTGTAAAGTTTGGATAAAATTGCACCAGTAGTTTATGAGGAGTAGTCCGGACAAGCTTTTGCGTATCTGGCAACACACAGAAAAAAAACCACCTTTTTATCAAAGGGCTATAACTCAGCCAAAAATCATTCATCCGGAAAACCCGTGCAATATGCGCAAGGACTTGAGCTACAGATCAATCCTGTAAAGTTTCATTGAAATTGCATATGTGGTATTAAGAGAAGTAGTCCGGACAAACTTTAAAAATAAAAATTATTAAAGGGCCATAACTCAAACAAAAATCATTGAACGGAAAATGCTGACAATATGCACAACTAGACTTCGGGTACTGATCATTCCTGTAAAGTTTGGATGAAATTGCACCTGTAGTATTATATGAGGAGTAGTCCGACAAGCTTTTGTGTACCTGGCAACACACAGAAAAAGAAACCTTTTTATCAAAGGGCCATAACTCGGCCAAAAATCATTCAACCGGAAAAACCCTTGCAATATGCGCAAGGACTTGAGCTACAGAACAATCTTGTAAAGTTTCATTGAAATTGCATTTGTGGTAATAAGAGAAGTAGTCCGGACAAACTTTAAAATTAAAATTATTAAAGGGCCATAACTCTGACAAAAATCATTGAACCGGAAAATGCTGACAATATGCACAACTAGAGACTTGGTACTGATCATTCCTGTAAAGTTTGGATGAAATTGCACCAGTAGTTTATGAGGAGTAGTCCGGACAAGTTTTGTGACGGACGGACAGACAGACGACGGAGAAGTGATCCCTATATGTCGCCACTACTCCGTAGAGGCGACACAAAAAGAGCCTATTACTCCTGATGTGCTGAAATTACTCATTAAACGTTTTGTTTCTGAAAAGTGTTCATTGGCAGATTTAAGAATTGTTACATTGTTTGTGATTTGTTTTTAAGTAAAACTTCAAAGAATATTTTGTTTTGCTTTTATTGTTTTGGATTTATAATTTTCACACTTTGTTTTAAATTGGTTTCTAATAATCTAATCTGAATCAAGTCTAATATTGCAGGCTTTATTTTATTTTTTATCTAATATGGTATCGTGTTTTAAATTTATAAATACAGTTCTTTAAAATGTTTTATCTAAATGCTTTCTTTGTTTTGCTCGATTGAAAGTTGTCAAATACAATGCCTAAATCCTATTCTATTGTTTTGGTTTCTTTCTAGTAAGATTATAACATGGGATAAGTGAATAATTGTTTTACTCACGACACAGAGTGAGTAAATAAAATTATTCACGTTTCCCATTGTTATTTCATTCCAGTCCATAGTTTAGTTTATGCTTTGATAAGTCTACAACATATTTTGTTTCATACATATTTTATTACATTGCACGATTTTCACGTGTTTTGAACCAGTGTGTAGGTATATATTCGGTGTTTTACTATTGTTTCTCACTCGAGGCAGTATTTGACAGCTTTTAACACGTTCTTTAGAGTTATAGTTATTCCCTCTTCCCGCCCTCCCAGTTTCTAAGAAAGGATGCTATTTAGTGGTTTTCAGAGTATCGTTGTAAAAAATTATGTTTTCATTTATCATTATTAATATAGTTTCAGTATTTTTCAGGTTTATCGTTGGACGAATATGCATATGGCTTTCCGAATTCAGCTATACAAGATACTATCTACAGGATCCAATGGAACTGTTGTATACCTAAAGACAGGGGTAAAAGTAACAGAAACTGAAAATACTGAACCAAAAAGTTGGGGGCCAGGGGGCCGCTAGGGCCCCCGGTGGGTCCAGGGCAACGCCCTGGCGGGGGGACCAGGGGGCCGGAGGCCCCCGGAAGCTCTTGCAATTTGGTGAATTACAAAGCTAAAAAAAGGCTCAGATACATACTCAAGTGCTTTATTTATCTTCAGATGTAATTAAAATGATATGTTAAAATTTACACAAATTCACTGAGCAATACATATACAATCCACATAAATGGATTATGTTCATTCTTTTTACTATTTTCTATTTCATATCTTAGATTTAATTCTTTTCCATTGTCTTCCACTTGTTGAGGAACTTGTGTCTGTAGCTTTTGATGAGCCTGGCAGTACCTGAAAAGACAATTTTCAAATGAAAGATGTATGAAAACATATCAAATAAAATATCACACTCATAAAATTGTCAATTTAGTTCGGAAACCAGGAGATAATCAATCTAAAAAACATAGATATTGAAAATCATTTTCTAATCCTTAAAAAATTCAGCTGTAAAAAAAATTATATTATTTTATAATATTTAGGTGGAAAACAAATTTTAGGTGGAAAAAAAATCAAAGTCCAGACCTATGAAAAATTTGGGCATAGGTTCCCCTGCACAGGGCCATTTTTTAATTCAACCCCCAACCCTTGCCCTGACCATATGAAAGTGGGGGGAAGACAGAAGAAAAAGAGGGTGGGGTAATGTGCATTGTTTATTAACTACACAATGCACAACTAAACCTCTTTTCATTGCTAACTCTAGATAGTGACTAAACTACACAGAGAAATGATCTTACTTGGTTTGTTTTTACTGTCCTAAGATTCTTTTTGTGGTCCTCATCTTCAGCGTGATTACGAAGCACCTTTTTTCCGTTCGATTTGTAGTTGATCGTTTTGAAACAGGCTTCACAAAAGGCAATGCCCATTGCATTTGGTTTCTTCAACCAAGCATCCCATTTTTCACCTTTAGAGTCCTTTTCCGCTAACCACTCCCACATCCATTTGTTTTTTTGCACCTTTTTCCAGATCGTTAGTATTAAAACCAGGCGGTAAACACTTCATTGTTGTTGTTTTTGTAAAACACTGACAATTTTTGTACATGTAAAATCAAATGACTATGCAACAAACGATTTCATTGGCTGGTAAAAATAACGACGACCAATCAAATCTGATCTTGTATAAACTAGCTCAATTTTTCATCGGCAATCTCCGTATTGTAATAGGTATTTCCCACTTGTAGAAAATTTGTGCAAACGGGTCTGAGATGGACAAATCTATTCAAAATAATGTATCAAGCAATGTGCACTCGCTAATTAATGAGGCATGCACACACACCCTACCCGATTTCTCATCGGATTTACGTCATTCAGAAAAACGACCTCGGAGATCGCCGAAAATACGGAATTCCGTCGTGAGACGGAAAACTTTTACCCCTGTAAAGAGATTTTAACTTGATCCAAACTACATGCATTTATTTGTTGAAAGTTGTCAAATACAATGCCTAAATCCTATTCTGTTGTTTTGGTTTCTTTCTAGCAAGATTATAACATGGGATAAGTGAATAATTGTTTTACTCACGACACAGAGTGAGTAAATGGCAATACACCTCCGACCTACTTCAACAGTAAATTTGCAAACACGATTGTTTATTTGCCAGGGAGAAAAATGAAATAACATCATATTATGGTATGGTTCTGTGTACAAGATTTTATACACAAAATAATATGGGTCTGCAATTCTGGTCTGTCCACACCCCTGTATTTTAGTTGAGGCCCACTAAACAGTGCTATATGCCAAATGTCTAAGCAATGGACAGTTAGTCTAAAATGTGCTTTCTTATCTGAAATTGTTTGGGCATACACATTTGAAGGCCTGGACAAAACAGTGGCAATATAAGTCTTTAAATGACTATGCCCCAGAATTATTTTATTGGAGCCACCTTAAAAATCTTAAGCAAATAAATCATTTAAATAACAACAAAGACGAATTTCTTTGTACAAAGGGTTTACTAAGCAATTGTTACAGCTTAAGACCTTGGTCGTTCCTTCTTTCCTCTGAAAAGAGCCCACAGTGAAACGTTAGCGACCTTGACAATCTTGAAACGGACACCGGGAATATCTCCTACAGCGTGACCTTTTCTACCAAAACCAGCAACCAACACCTCATCGTTTTCCTGAAATGCAAAATTGGTGATGCCATCATATTGGTATTGACAAAATCAAATATAACAAGAAATTTTCAGGAATATCCAAAGTTCGAACTTTGTCAAAACCTCAGGCCCCGTGCTCACAAAGACTTAAAGATAAGTATCAAATCTAAAAACTCAAATATTCTCTATTGTTTGTCCTCAGAGAATAAATATTAAATTTTAACATGATAAAACAGGACTTGAAATAGCATGTTTATAAATGGAATTTTAAAATAAATATATTGTTATTTACATTTTGAATATGTACCATTTAATTCTAGCAAAATACTATCATTATTGGTTATATAAAACAAAGAAAGTAAAATCAGGATCACTTGATTCTGATCTTTCCTTCTTGAACACGGGGCCTAAGCTCCCATTAATCATTCTCCATCACGGGGGACATGACAATAAATATTTAAATGTATTCACTCCGTAAACAATGTAACAGAGAATGGCCAGACTGCACTTGCATTTCTAGCAACATAAAGGTTAAGTAAATGCATAACCCTATGTTACAATGTCAAAACTTGATGCCAGAGTGACTATATGCTATATTACTGTTGGCCTCATTGATATGTTTTAACAAAGTTAGAATGTATTTGAAAAACATTACTAACACTGCATTGTTGGAATAAAATTTGCCTCATTGATATTATTTAACAAACTTATAATGAAGTTGAAAATACATTACTAACACTGCATTATCACTATGCAAGTAAGTTTCAAACAAATTAGAGGTTAAGACTTTCTATGTATGTTATATTCTTCAAGCCCAGAACAGGTGGGAAAAAGAATAATTTCAGAATGCTCAGATACATTAGGAATTGTCCTATTTAGTCAATTGTTATACAGCTAAACCTACTTCAATAAAGTTGAGGCAACCGTCATTAGGTACGAATGCCGTGATCTTTTTTCCATTCTTGATCAATTGTACTCTCACACACTTTCTGATGGCAGAGTTAGGCTGCTTAGCTTCTACTCCACTGAAACAAAAACATTTCATAATTTAATTACTATCTAAAATAAAATACATGATAATTTGCATCCAAAAATAGAATAAATTGGGTACCACTAAAATACGCAACGGAGATTTTTTGGCGCAACGGACGCAACGGGCGCAACGGAGATATTTTTTTAGAAAAACCGGCACAACGCCTTTTTTTAAAGTCAATGTGCTATATTTAAGCATCTAAAATGATTGTTTATAACTATTTAGTAAGTAACTTTTAAAATATTTCATAAATTGTAAATGTTTAATTGCACTGAAGGGTCATATGCCTGGCGAAATGGAAATTTCATGGCGCAACGGAGATATTTTTTTTTAGAAAAACCGACACAACGCCTTTTTTTAAGTCAATATGCTATATTTAAGCATCTAAAATGATTGTTTAGCACTATAAAGTAAGTATGATTTCAAATGTTTCATAAATTGTATATGTATACACTGAAGAATTATAATATGCCTGACGAAATGGAAATTTCATGGCGCAACGGAGATAATTTGGGAAAATCGGCACAAATACTATTGTACTATTATATGAAATTAATTAACACCAATGTTATTTGAATAAAAAATCAAAGAAAAGATTTAAAAACCTTAATCGCATATCAAATAATCAATATTGATGTTGTAAAGGATTGTGCGCCGGCGAAATGGACATTTTGTCTGCGCAACGGAGATTTTTTTTTTTTTTTTTTGGGCGCAACGGAATTTAAAAAGAAAACAATGTTTGTCCGAATTAAGTAGTAATATGAAGAAGTAAATCATTAAAGATATTAACTGAATTACTGAAGTGGTGTAATAAATGTCTGTTTTATTCATTTAAAAATAGAATGAAATACGTTTTTATCGTTACGGCTGACATTGGAAGACAAGTATAGATTTTACTATCTGTTTCATTTTTCCCCGTTCAATTCGTTATTTTTACGAAAAGTACTGTAATAGCTTTTCTATACATAATTTTTAATTGAATTTGCATTAGTATATACTAAATAAAGTAATATGTTGATATTACAGAATCAATGTTCAGTATTTTTTTTATTATAAACATTCATTGTATTGTTGTTATACCTTTCATAAACTCCGTTGCGCCGATGGATTATTGCGAAACGGAGATTTTATTTTCAAAAGTGTGTACTATTTTTTATGTCCAAAACATAAAATAATCATATAAGTTGGTATTGTTGATATTTTATACATAATTTTTACATATACTGTATAAGTTTGATTTTATCAGGTAGAATACTGAATATATCAGATTCTAAATGGACGGCGAAATGTACATAATTTCGGCGCAATGGAAAATGAAGATTTGCATAACGGTTAGTTCTTATGTTTGAACATAACTTAAGAATTTGAGAATAATAAGTAACAGTCTTTTAAAAATGATTTACTTTCCTTTATTTTAGAAAATGTTGAAATAGGATATTGTAAAAGATATTTAAATTACGGCGAAATGGACACATTTCGGCACAACGGGGATTATTATTTATTAATTTATTATCTTTCATTAATCATTGTGTACCTTTTCAATAATTGTTTGTTGTGTATAAATTGTTTATTTCATCAAAAGCAATCCAAATATTTCATAATTGTGATATTGACAAACGGTAATCAATTACGCGAGCATTGTAAGCAATTAGCAACGTATCGTGCACCAGTATGGCACGGGTGTTTAATAATTTTAAACATTTGTAAAAGAAAACTTGACCGTTATCAGTGGCGGATTCAGGCTCCAAAATGTTTTATTACGTCTCATGCACATTTCATATACACAATTTTTCATAGTTTGAGTGAAATATTGGCATAATAATTTCAAAAGCAATATTTTCGACAATAATAAGTTATAAAAAAATATTTAATACCTTAAAGTCAATACATGTTTCCTCTTAATTACATTATCTAAATGGTGTGAAAACGCTTGTCCAATAACATCAACCACGTGTCATTGGTAATTTAATGATCGGTACTTAAACACCCGTGATAAACATTCTGCCAATCACCAAATTGCTGTCGTTTCGCTAAATAAACAGTAGCTGCATTTGATTAACGGGGTTTTCTGATTGGGAAGGAATTGTTATAAGTAACGTTCAATTTAATTATTTTATGTTTTAAAATGGAAAGTCTAAGCAAATTCTACATGCATGTCGTTTTACTATTTTAATAATTACATCAAACAATAAATAGTTTATATAGTTACTATTTTTAATTTTAAAAATGCATTAAATATTACAATCATTCGAATATCAGCCATGACGGAATCAATCGTATTTCTTTGTGCAGCCAGTAAAGCCATTAATTAACGTTTTCTTGAAATTTGGTAATTTATTGTTAAGATTACATTAGAAAGTCAACAGGGTATGCTTTACGGACTTTTCGTATTCTTCAAGTAAAATTCTGAAAATTATGTATAGAAAAGCTATTACGGTACTTTTCGTAAAAATAACGAATTGAACGGGAAAAAATGAAACAGATTGTAAGAATCATACATGTCTTTCAGTGTCAGCCATAACGATAAAACCGTATTTAATTCCATTTCTAAATTAATAAAACAGACATTTATTACACCACGTCAGTTAATATCTTTAATGATTTACTTCTTCATATTACTACTTAATTCGGACAAACATTGATTCCGTTGAGCCAAAAAAAAAATAATCTCCGTTGCGCAGACAAAATGTCCATTTCGCCGGCACACAATCCTTTAAAACATCAACATTGCAGCTCTTTGATTATTTGATATACGACTAAGGCTTTTAAATCTTTTTTTTTAAATTCATATTACTACTTAATTCGGACAAACATTGTTTTCTTTTTAAATTCCGTTGCGCCAAAAAAAAAAAAAAAATCTCCGTTGCGCAGACAAAATGTCCATTTCGCCGGCACACAATCCTTTACAACATCAATATTGCAGCTCTTTGATTATTTGATATACGATTAAGGTTTTTAAATCTTTTCTTTGATTTATTTATTCAAATAACATTGGTGTTAATTAATTTCATATAATAGTACAATAGTACAAACGTTGTGCCGATTTTCCCAAATTATCTCCGTTGCGCCATGAAATTTCCATTTCGCCAGGCATATAATCCTTCAGTGTATACATAAACAATTTATGAAACATTTGAAATCATACTTACTTTATAGTGCTAAACAATCATTTTAGATGCTTAAATATAGCACATTGACTTTAAAAAAAGGCGTTGTGTTGGTTTTTCTGAAAAAAATATCTCCGTTGCGCCATAAAATTTCCATTTCTCCAGGCATATGACCCTTCAGTGCAATTAAACATTTACAATTTATGAAATATTTTAAAACTTACTCACTAAATAGTTATAAACAATCATTTAAGATGCTTAAATATAGCACATTGACTTTAAAAAAAAAGGCGTTGTACCGGTTTTTCTAAAAAAATATCTCCGTTGCGCCCGTTGCGCCAAAAAATCTCCGTTGCGTATTTTAGTGGTACCGGAATAAATTTGAAGCTTTTCTATGGTTACTATATACTTATGGGAAATGTTTATCTACCAAATTCTTAAAGAATAACAGTGTCTTCAAATTGACGACAATGATGCTATAGTGCTCGTAATAGTTAAAAGACATTTCCTACAAAACAGACAGTCATGCTACAAATATGAATATGTATTCTAAAAAGTGTCACAAAAATATAAACTTACACTTTTTCAAGAACAATGCCTTTAGCGTGGGAAGATCCCTGGAAGGGTTTCACCCATCTGGAAGGCAAATGAGCCTTTTTGTATGTTTTGTCATGCCATTTCTGCTCGCGTCTATGATTGACAAACTTACGGGCAGTTCTAATACCGTGAGGCTTACCTGAAATCATTCAAGAATATTTGGATATTTAAGATGCCAAGAGTTGTCTACAAGTTAAAATGAAGATTAATTTTCTGACAATAACAATAAACATAGCTCATAGTTAACTTTTGTAATTAATACATGGGAAGATTTTTGTATTTCTAAGTAATACAAACAACTAAAACTCACATTAAAATTAGTTGAGTTCAAATGAAAATCATTTTGGAACATGCATGTCAAGTCGAGAACCATAAACAGCATAAAACAGACATCAAAACATCTCAATGCTGCGGAATCATGTTTATAGTGGTATTGGCTATTCTATTACATATTCGTTATGATAATAATACAATGAATATTTAAATAGTAAGTTATATTTTAACCACCACGTGTGGAGCCGCTTACCCATGTTGGCGAAATTTAGAAAGAACGTTTATAGCGAGATTATCCGAGATTTCAATTTTATTAAGCTAACGCGTTTTAAATACCAACAAGAACGAAAGAATCAAATTCGCTTCGATCATTTATTTATAATAATTTTGTACAAATGTTTTGTTTAAATTGTTACTGGTCAAAACTTCGTAACTCATAAAAGATAAAATATGTAAAATAATAAATAAATAGTATACAATACTGCTCTAGCTCTAAATACACATTTTTTTTTCAAATTTCTATATAAAATCTAAGTATCAGTCACATTCAAATTTGTAAATTGTTACATATATTTGAAAAGTTATTGTTGTTGACATAATATGAATATGTTTTCAAATGAATATGATAAGATCGATCATTAGGGTATATAGCAACGTGACAAATGATAGTAATGCTTTTAAATACATTGTAAATTTATTGATACATACGAAAATTTGCATTCAAATGTTCAAATTTTACGAAACATAGGGAGTTACGTAATTATATTTTATAGTCTAAGTTTCATGCATACGCACGTTCACCGACTTTACAGCTACTACCCCTGGTCATCGGGCTTCTGGTATCTATTTATCAATCTCCCTGGGGAGTCTTTTAACTCCGCTTAGTGCAGCCGACACTTTGGCGCAACGGAATTATACCACCCTCGCAGGTAAGTACCCATTTACACCTGGGTGAAGTGAAGCAATCGCAGGTAAATTTGCTCAAGGAAATTAGCAGTGCCCCTGGTGGGGTTCGAACCCGGGACCTCTCGATCCCTAAGCGCGCGTCCTACTACTGGACTACTGCTCCTACAGTAGAGTTGTTTATCATCTTAAAGCTCATGGGTTCTAGCCCTACTAGGTTTTCTAAAATGGCATGAGTAATAGCTAGTTTTAGGAAGCCGACTCGGAAAAACAAAACAACAAAAAACAACAAAACAACAAAACTTTATTCATTAGTCCACAGACAGAATGTGGAAACAACTCTAGAAAATCAACGACAGTGATAAGAATAGCACACTCATATTAATTTCTTTTCATTATTTACCTTCTGTAAAATTCATAAAGAAAATCTATAGAAAAATTAGATATTTTCTTTATGAATAGACATATGTGATTTGCCGTCAATTCAAATATATGCTGTACATGTAACTATTCGAGCAATACAAAGTGCGCCGAACGGGAAATCAATTCTCCAGTTAAAATTGACCAATGTCATGTTTTACAGAAGCCGTTGAAAGCCAATATAAGTTTAATATTTGTTCTCCCAAGAACTAAAGCTAAATTGTGCAAGATAAGTGCGCTTCATTTACCAACAAAGCTCTTGAATAGGGAATCAAGTATTACACATTACTAGTAACTATTCCTATGTTTTTATTACCCGATGGGATCCAATTATATAAACATTCCCTTTAAGATAATTTAGGGATCATGGCGCTGACAAGGTAAAATAACTTACCAATCATACTGTAATAAACCATTTAAATGCAACTATTAAAAACAGATAGTAATGAATGTTGACTGATGTGCAAACATCAAAACTATATTAGTGATGACACGTGGGAAGCTGACCATCATCAACATCTCGGTAACTATGCATTCATGAGACAACGTTGTATTAAAGAAAACATTATTCCTGTAAAGAAAAAGCTAAAGTAAAAAAGAGAAAAACTGATTATCTAAAGAACGCCCCAAACTGCAAAACTGAAAATGTTGCAGGCTTGGTTTGATTGATCTTGTTAATTCATGGATGGAAGTGTTAATTTCAAGCTACTGTCCACGCCCCTAGCACCGGCTTTAACATAAAATAGTTATATTTTCAATCGTAGATGTGTTCTTAATTATGGCGGTAGTCATGAAATATTCAATAAGACAAGTTAAAGTACCATTTCGTGAAATGCGGTGAATGGTCCCCAAATACAAAAATGTGTGTGTCCAAAATAAAAAGCAAGTTTGAAAAGAACGACCACATGGAGATATTATTGCTATTGTTTAACTTGTGTATAAAAACAGACTAGTGAAGTGTTTTGAGTTATTTACATACCAGTCCGTACTCTACCAATCTCAAATCTTTCTACTCGATGTACCATTTATAGAACCGTATAAGGGACTAATATACATGTCTCATTGATATTATTATTTTTTGTTTATATAAAAGAAGAAATAACAGGATACGAGGAAGACGAATGCACTGAAGTAAATTCCATATCCGAATGGTAGTCCCAAAATGCCTTGATCAATTGTTTGAATATGTTATATATTCAAAGTGTTGGTTTCAGTTGGTTTCATGTAACTTAATGTCATATCTATAAAGAGTAAGAATATTTTAATTTCATATATAAAAAGTGTTTGGTTCTGTTAATTTCATGTATTAGATATTTGGAAAAGTGAAATCTCATATTTGATTTTTTAATAAGTTAATTTGATATCTAAAAAGTGCTTAAACAAGTTAATTTCATATTTTAAAATTGTTTCGAAAAGTTATTGCCATACCTTTAAAGTATTAGGATGTATTAATTTCTTATATAAAAGTATTTGGTTCTGTTAATTTCATATTTAAAAAATATTTTGAAAAGTAAATATAAAATTGAAAAAGTTTGGCAAAGTTAATGTCATATTTAATTAAGAGTAAATGTCAAAGCTATAAAGTATTTAATAAGGTTTATTTTTTTATTTTATTTTATTGTACTGTTTCTATCCATTATCTTTTAAAAATAATTAAAAACAATCACTCTAAACATTTACTCCAAATCACAATGGGCATCTAATTTGAAGAAGTCATTTTTAAGGATTTAATGCAGTACGCAGTACTCATGCTCTTAATATACACATGTAAATGCGCAAACCGTTAAACGCAGAAAAAATCATCAAATAAGAAATTTTCCATTTGAATCATTGTACCAAAGTAACTGTTATACATGTATTTTGTTCACAACCACTTGGACAAGCAATAGGTTTATGCAAGTTGCAACATTAATAGATCGTGTAAATTCTATTGACATTTTGATATTATTTGAGAATTCATATTTAAACCAATTACAACTAAATATGGTACCCAAATTGAAACTATACATGGGGCTAAGTTAAATAAAATGCCACGCATCATTGTTCAAACAAAGGTCATCATCAAATATAAAATAACGGTACATGTATCTGTTTAGACCAATAATAGCGTTTTGTGACAAATGATTAAAAATGTATAGAGAAAAGTGGTATTTCTATTTTAAACTCATTAGCAAAATGTTCTACAAGTGTTTAAGATTAAACGATTTTCAAGTTGACGGATTATTCAAGAAATAACGTTGCGACATAATACTTATAAAATGTATGAAGATTTAAGAATTTGCTAGTTTAGATGATCAAACATTTATCAACACAAATGTCCATACGTTAATGACATTTTATAACAAAACACTCTATTTATATCTATTTTATACATGCATACATGTATAGTAGCAATGATATAAAACATTATGCATATCATATTTCATTTAACCTGGGGTACCATATCAAAACTGATGATTATAATTCTGTTCTTACAAACATACGAATGCTGGATTTCATAATTTTAAGGGAATTCATTTAAAGAAGATGGGATTTATAAACTTCGTAAGATTTAAATACTCTTTAATGTTACCTACAAATGTATGTTATCCTTTTTTGTTTTCTGTTTTATTTTAAGTTCGAATTTGTTTTCATTTATATCTGGTTCTTGTTTACTAATTGTCAGAATTTCATAATAAGCGTTGAACTTATATGGTGCGCATTTACTTGTAACCAACGCTCCCTTATACACGTATAGCATCTAATTGAATACACTACTGTTACTTCAAACTGAGTGAACGGTGCGCAGGAAGGCACTCATAACCTACAGCCAATGGATAGACCACGAAATTGTGTGCAAAGATATTTTACTTATTAAAGTCTCAAATATTTATATTCAGCTGATATCATCTGAGACTAATGTATGCCAATTTAAGAATATACAAATGTACTAATTACAAATACAATATACTAGTACCTTATAAAAATTCGGTCATTTGATACAGTTGTACTTTTTTGGCGCTGACGATAAACAGGTTAATTTCTTTTCAGACTTCTATACGGCAGGCCTGTGCTAAAGTTTTTTCTTACAAGTGCTAAAGCACTGTTTTATCTTTTTTCTTTTATTTTTTTAACTTGACGTGTTCAAAAGTTTGTTTGACTACATTTATCTAGATAAAGCTGCTAAACAGTATTTATTTCTTTACGAACTTTTGTACCATTTGTACTCTAATATTTTTTGTGGATGAATGGAACTGATAAAAAACAAAACAACATTATTGACACCTGACAAATTGGCATCGTATATTATCAGTTACAAATGAAAAGTTTAATCTTTAGAATATAAACAACGTCATTGAATGCCATATTCTTTATAAGAGGCAAAAGAAGACTAATGCCACTACTATCAACTATGAATCTTATCTTTGGACTCATTTATATTTTTACTAGCTTTACTTTTTCTTCAACTCTCCAGAGGTCAATAACTGTTGTGTTTCATTATTTGCATACTACTGCACCTTTAAATAAGAAGACAAATTAAACGAGTTAATACCGACACATTTGTAATTAGAGATTTGCAAATCCGATTAGAATAAACCCTGGACTTTTTATATACATTGCATATAGTACGCCCCCTAAATAAATCTATAGAGCAATAAAACACTATGAAAATATTGTAAATTATTATACAAGTGATTTTGTAGAGTGAAATGTAAAAAGGCGATGTCTATAGTTTATGACCTGTTTGCATATATATGGTGGCGATCGTATTTAATAAGTTTATTGCACCAATCTTTAAGGTGGCAAGAGATATTGTCCTAGCTGTTTGAGTAGGAGTTATTTCATACCAATAACAATACTAAAATACTGGAACAATTCAGAAGTGTTAGATATGTGGTCTCTATGAAGGAGTAATATATTATTACCTGATTCATGTTCATTTACTTCACATCCTCCGAAACGTGTGTCAACATCTAGAAGTGATCTTTCGAATTTTATATAAATAAAACGTGCTATTCGTGTGTATCGCAATATTTGCATATTGGAATTATACACTTAAAGCCTATTAGCTAACATTGCATTTGCACCACTCGCATGTTGACATAAAAAAAAGTGAAAACTGGAACGCAAATATAAAGGAAATGCAATATTTTAAAGGGAGTGTTTCACCATCGTACTAAGTTTATAACTGCTTTTACATATTATTTCATGATAGCAGAAACTTAACAATGAAGGATTGTAGTGGATGTAAGGAATTGCGAGAAGAATTTAGAGCAAAAAGATTTGGACTTCATCATGAAAACCCATCTCTATTTGTTAAATCTCAGGTAAATATACAAACAAAAGAAATGATAATTGTTTTGCTTATGAAACATATACATATAGCAGGCCCGTCGTCACGATTTTGTGATTGGTGCGGCCAATTTGGTAGGTTTTAGGTAGAATCTAGGGGGTACGGGGGCATGCTCCCCCGGAATTTTTTTTATTCTAGGATGGTCTCAGGGGCGTTTTCCCGTATATTTGGCACAATTTATATCCTGTCGCTAGAACATGTTATAGGTATGTCTTTATTCTTCTGAGCGCCGAGAATGTCCTTTCACTGGTAGCATTAGTAGCAGGCAACTAACAAAATCTTTAACAACACAACGACCTCAGAGAACAGTGCTCGTTCTAGCACCGACTGTTTTGACACAAATTTCAAAGCGTCAGGTAGAGTAACAGTACTATTTTCTGATTTGTCAAAATGTGAACGTAGCAGCTGAAGCTGCACCTCTAAGATCTCTCGGTAAATATCGTTGCCATAGAAATCACAAACAAACCAAGTTTTCTAGTGAACGCGGTCTTCAAAGGTTGTGCGGCCTAAATAAGTAAATCCTCCACGTTCTAAGTACGCGATATCTCGGTTGGTCAAATCTCTCTTTAACACTGGCCATGGCAAGATCGATTGCTTCAAAATACTTAAATACTTAGGCCGGAACACGTCTTGCACTTTAATTATGTAATAGAGTAAATTGAATGAGTTTATTACTGAATTTATTTCAGGAGTTGAATGAAAATATATTATGCGAGCCTCTGGCGAGTATAATAATTTATTCAAAGATTTCAATAAATTCAGTAATGAGCTTACACGAATTTAATATTCTGTTTATCACTTACCAAATATAAGTAAAAAGTGAAAAAGAACCATTTTTCATTGACGCCCATAGAAAAACGCTAACATTTAGTGTGTATAACGCAAATGACGTCAAAATATATGCTATCTGATTTACAGTATATATAAAATCTTTTACAATCAATTAATTTCTCGAAAATATATAAATTTAAATAATTACTTTCGGAAACCTAGAATAATTGATTAAATACATGTGCACGCGCCAACACATTCGATTCATTGCTATATATTTTGTTGTTTATTTGGAGACGTTTTAAAATAAATACAATAATAATTTCTTAAAGTGACATTATGCCCAACCACTGGTATAAATGAGTCAACAAATGAATGTTGCAATAATTCCTTTTAATATAAAAAAATTATTTCACATTAACAATAAACAACGCATGAATTCAAACGGAATTTTGTAAATATCCACGAAACGTTCACTTCATAAAAAGAGCGGGGCAGTCTTTTTATGAATAAGTCTCCGCGAGGCAAAGGCCCTTCGTTTCGAAAAAATGTTTCCGCATCTGATGGTTCCAATTCTACGGACGTTAATCGGATTAAATCAAGCAGATACGTGAATAACAATAAAGGTCGTACTAGTTAGCACGTGCCGGGGGCAGAGACAGAGACTATCGAACATGTACAAGCAAGTACTTTTTTAACATCTGAAGACTATGAAAGTGTCACATTCGAGAATAATGTTATTTATTTATGTGCAAAATGTATAAATTTACCTAGCACGTCAAAATTCAAAATTTGTGAACATTATAAGCCACACGTCTTATCTGACTTTGATAAAAGGAACACTGAAGATATAGCTTATAGCCCGAATATCTCGGAAGATTTTATATCTCATTGTGAAGGCTATTCTAAGCATACATCTGAAAGTTTTACATGCATAAAGATTTAAATATTGGTAGTCTGAATGTTTGTGGTCTTAAACAAAGATGTAATTATCCTGATTTTTTAGATTTAGTGAGAAGCTATGACATTTTTTGTGTTCAAGAGTCAAAACTTGATATCTATGATGTTATAAATGTACCAGGATATAAATTTTATTCTAAACCTAGGTCTAAAGGATACTATAGGAAATCAGGAGGGCTCGGTATTTTTGTTAAAGACTGTATTTCTTTAAATGTTGAAGTGCTAGAATCCAATAGTGATTATGTTTTATGGATAAAAATTGATTGCATCATTTTTGATAAACAAGAGCACTTGATATTAGGAGCCGTCTATGTACCTCCACTACAATCTCTCGTTTTTTTAATGACGATGATTTTTTCAATTTGAAAATGATGTTTCTGATAAATGTTCTTTGTATAAATATTGTATATTCTCATCGGTTGATGTTAATGGTCACACAGCATCTTTACCTGATTATGTAAGCTTTGATAACTTTTTAACAACATTTTTTGATTTAGATGAGTCTTTTCTCAGTGAATTTAAACTGTATTGAATATTTAGAAGAAAATAATTTCCAAGCGAAAAGAAACTCTTCTGATAACAAAACGAATGCTACTGGTTTAAGATTTTTAGAACTGTGTAAAAGTAATAATCTTTTTATTGCAAACGGTCGTATGTGTGAAGATAAGGTTGTTGGTAAATGCACTTTTAGAGGAACTTCCGTTATTGACTACGTTGTTTTTTCGCACAATTGTTTTAGTCTTTTTTCTAATTTTCAAGTTCTTGATGTAGACAATTTATTTTCTGATGGCCATTCTGTACTAGCATTATCACTGACATTGTCCGTCAAAAATCAAGACTTTACTGCCGAAACCAATAAAACAAGTATGTCAAACTTAAGGCCTCCTAAATGGGAAAATGATAAAAAAATCGAGTTTATAGAAAATCTAAGCAAAAGCACATTAGCAGAAATAAATGCAAAAATAAAACGGTTGACTATAAATATCACGAAATCAGAAATAAATGAAATCGCAGATGATATTGGCATATTATTTAACAATTCAGCTAAGGATACCTTTTCACGAAAACAATATACATGTACAAAAACAATGCGTAACTCTTCTTTTACAAAACCATGGTTTGGGCCTCAATGCAATAAAGCGAGACGGCGATATCATATCGCACGTAGAAAGTATTTCATTCATAAAAACGACCAATACAGGTGTGAATTGAACCGCGCAAGTAAACACTATAAACAGACAATAAATACATATACATGTAAGCATAAAACAAGAAATGAGCGAAAACTTAGAGAATTGCATTCTAGACGCCCAAGAGATTTCTGGAAAATTCTAAATAATTTAAACGCAAATTCAACACCAGAAAACTCACCCGACGTCGAAACATTTTATAATTATTTTAAATCGGTAAATTCGGATAAAAATTATGATGACAGTGATAACTTTGACATGCCAGACGCCAATTTAAATCAAAACGAATTTTTGAACTGTAAAATCTCAAAGGAAGAAATAATAATAATGATTGATAAAAGTAATAATTCAAAGGCAGCATCTCCTCAGGATTTTATATATAATGAATACCTTAAAAGTACAAAAGAGTTTATGGTTCCCATTTTGTGCGATTTTTGGGGAGGCTATGCCGACCCAATGTTAATAACTGTCTGTCAAATCTTACTGCCGCGGTAATCAGGTCAAAAAATAGTACCTTGATTTTTTCTAAGCTGACTCATCACTCATCACAGACATTTACAATATGAAAATATTTTCATTCTTTAATTTCATATCTGCAATTTGTAAAGATAATAATTCTCTGAAAAATTCTTGATTTTTGTTTAAATCACTACTCCGTGACGTCATACTGCCACGGTAATCAGGTTAAAAAATAGTACCTTGATTTTTTCTAAGCTGACTCATCACTCATCACAGACATTTACAATATGAAAATATTTTCATTCTTTAATTTCATATCTGCAATTTGTAAAGATAATAATTCTCTGAAAAATTCTTGATTTTTGTTTAAATCACTACTCCGTGACGTCATACTGCCGCGGTAATCAGGTTTAGGCATATTACGTACGTCTGTATTAAATAGTTCTGGTATGAAAACCCTTCAAAATAATAACTTTATCCATATTTTTTTAACAAAAAGCATAAATGAAAATTTATAAGTAAATGCTTTAATTCAGTGGCAAATATTCTTTATTATTTTTGATAACAATTTTCCAATTACTACGCAGCGACCAACTGTTTATGACGGGTCATTAACTAGAACGTTGCAACTACGTATTCGGTCGTACGTATTCTCAATATCATGCATGTGCTTTTGTTGTTATAAACTATCAATAGTCCTTAATATTTTTTAAAGACAAATAATTGTAAACTGTCGCTTACATCAGAGACATGTTATAGTATATAGATAACTAAGGAAAACTAACTTATTTGTACACCCCAGGAGGCTGTACGCGGAAAACGCTCATAAACCGCTAAATCATATAGCTGTTTAGTAAATATTTTGCATACATTTAACTAAAAATTCACTGATGGTGATGAACATATAGTTTAAAAACATTTTATTCTTTAACCATTATCGCCGAAAAAAAACTATTTAACTACAAAACCCCTAAGGACCTCCGACAAAATCCCAGCACAATATTACAGTTTACATTAGCAAAATAAAAAAAAGCAATACTTATATTTTCATCTTACATAATTCATTAATCAAACTTTTAACATAAAAGTATCTTTGGTAATTGACAGATCCCTACTCTGATCTTTTATTTGTATAGGAATAAATTTAAACATGTGCTCTTTTGTTTAGGAATATTTTGTAGTGAAAGTCTTATATATTCACTAATCTCATAATTAGAATTAGACAGGTCAGGAATTTATACAAACAGTTGTTTAGTTAACTATGCTCATTTTAATCCCAATAGAAACATTCAAATATTTGTGGTAAAAAAACATGACCAAAGTACCTAGCAGTCGTTTACCCGGTGGTGATCCCATTAAACTGATTATAGATTCGAATTGATTAGAAAACACAAATAGAAACATGTGTTTCCGTACAACAAAATCGGAAGTAAAGTGAACAGTTAATTGACAGAAATATGTGGTCAAATATGTTTTAACAAGGAAATAAGTATTTCAGAGAAAGACGCAAAGATCAGTATGACCCCGTATTGTGTAATTAGAAAGTTTATTCAATTCTAGGGCATACATCATAATTTGATAGTCCATTTGTAAT